TGTAATTTTAACTCTCCTCCCTCCCTCCCTCCGTGCCAAGTTCGCTTTCATTTCGTTTCCCCAAAGGATAACTCTTCTGCTGCTGTTGCTGCAGCCTCTGTTTTCATTCCGCAGTCGACTAGCTTATTGATAGCACACTCCAGCAGCATCCCTCCCAAGCACACATGCAATCATCGCATTTTATATCCACGACATTGTCAGTCATACACTTCTTCTGGTGTTTTTCACACGCCGCAACCCCAAAATCCTTTTGTTGTTGTGGGTGAACATATCAGACAACACATCAATTCTTCAAACAGTTCTTGTTTATTCACAGGCCAGAACAGAACTGAACTGAAGGGTTCGGTCAGTCTGCTTATATAGAGTTCCAGTACAACGTAACTGTAACACTTTCTGTAACTACCCAATCACTGAATGTCACTTTCAATCCCTTATTTGCATATGTGGACCTGAGTGAAAACTATCTACAGTATCCCCCTGCTGGCCCAGGGTGAGAACTTCAGTACATAACACCTTTTTTAAACATATTTTTTATTGAGTTTTCCATATTTCATTTCATTTTCATTACACAAATCCATAACTTAAAGCATTGCTCAAACAAAGCATCGACCTCATTCCCTTCCTCTTTCTGACTTCCAAACATCCTTTACAAATTCTTCGCACTTCTATAGCCACTTTTTTACCTTATATCTTCTTTTGACATTCACCTCCTTCTATGTAAATCAGCTCCTTATTTTCACATTACCAAACATTTCAACTCAAACCTACAAACGTTTTCAAATGTTTACAGTTTTTTCATATAAAATATAAATTTGCTCCAGTCCTTTTGAAACAGTTTGTCACGCCAATTCCAGATCTTCCCTGTCAGCTTTGCCAACTCTATGTATTCAACCAGCTTTGTCTGCCACGCAACCCCAGAATCCAATGTATGATCAAGTGGTTGGACCTGTGAAATGTCTCTAGGTTTGCTGTGGGGCCGTCTAAGAAAGACATGCAATGAAGCAGACTTTTGGAAGGTTCAGAACAGATCAAAGAAAGTATTGCTTTATGCCAGGGGTCAGCAAACTTTTTCTGCAGGGAGCCGGTCTGTGGAACTCCTTCCCACAAGAGACAGTGAGGGCCACCAACTTGGATGTCCTTAAAAGAGTAGACAGATGCAAGGAGGAGAGGTCTAACCATGGCTGCTAGACACAATGGCTATGCTCTGCCCCTCCAGCAATGCTTCTGAACAGCCTCGGTCCAGTATATCTGAAGGAGCGTCTCCACCACCACTGTTCTACCCGGACACTGAGGTCCAGCTCTGAGGGCCTTCTGGCAGTTCCCTCACTGCAAGAAGTCAAGTTACAGGGAACCAGGCAGAGGGCCTTCTCGGTAGTGGCGCCCACCCTGTGGAACACCCTCCCACCAGATGTCAAAGAGAACAACTACCAGTTTTCTAGAAGACATCTGAAGGCAGCCCTGTTTAGGGAAGCTTTTAATGTTTGATGCATTACAGTGGTACCTTGGGTTACATAGGCTTCAGGTTACATACGCTTCAGGTTACAGACTCCGCTAACCCAGAAATAGTACCTCGGGTTAAGAACTTTGCTTCAGGTTGAGAACAGAAATTGTGCTCCGGCGGCACGGTGGCAGCTGGAGGCCCTATTAGCTAAAGTGGTGCTTCAGGTTAAGAACAGTTTCAGGTTAAGGACCTCCAGAACGAATTAAGTTCTTAAACCGAGGTACCACTGTACTGTATTTTCAATATTTTGTTGAAAGCCGCCCAGAGTGGCTGGGGAAGCCCAGCCAGATAGGCGGGGTATAAAGTATTAGTATTAGTATTAGTATTAGTATTAGTATTATTTATTATTATTCTGAATACCAGTTGCTGGAAACCACAGGAGGAGAGACAGCTCTTGTGCCTGAATTCTGTTTGCTGGTTTCCCACAGGGATCTGGTTGGCTACTGTGAGAACAGAGGGAGCTGGACTAGATGACCATTGGGAGTCCCTTACAACTCTGTGATTCTATGATAAGAAGAGCATGCTGGATAGGTCCACAGGCCCGTCGAGTCCAGCATCCTGTTCTCAAAGTGGCCGGCTTGTGGGAAGCCTGCAACATCGCTTTCCCCTCCTGTGGTTTCCAGCGACTGGTATTCCAACCACGGAGACAGAACGTAGCCATTATGACTAGTAACTGTTGATAGCTGCTATTGTTGTGAAATTGCCTGAGTAGCTCCCATTGTGAAATTATCTGATTTCGTCTCTCCACGCAGAAATCTAATCAGCCGCAAATTCGTAAAGTGCCAACAGGGAAGGATGACTGCGTTTTGATTCATGTATTGTCATGGAAAGTGCTACGCTAGGGTTACCAGATGTCCCCAGTTTTTTAAAAACTCTGCTCATTTATGTTTCACAGAGTGCGAAAGAAGGGCTTTGCACCTTTATACAATATACAGGTGTGTTTGGGCCCAGGGTCTTTTGCCTCACCATCCCCACTACCAACTCCCTGTTGTTGTTGTTGTTGTTGTTGTTGTTGTTGTTGTTGTTGTTGCTTAGTCGTTTAGTTCTGTCCGACTCTTCATGACCCCATGGACCAGAGCACGCCAGGCACTCCTGTCTTCCACTGCCTCCCGCAGTTTGGTCAAACTCATGCTGGTAGCTTCAAGAACACTGTCCAACCATCTCGTCCTCTGTCGCCCCCTTCTCCTTGTGCCCTCCATCTTTCCCAACATCAGGGTCTTTTCCAGGGAGTCTTCTCTTCCCATGAGGTGGCCAAAGTATTGGAGCCTTAGCTTCACGATCTGTCCTTCTAGTAAGCCCTCAGGGCTGATTTCCCACTGTTGCTACTCAGCTTCAAAATAATAACAATAATAATAATAATTAATAATAATAATAAAGTGTCCCCGGATTCATTGAAAAAAATCTGGTAACCATTCACCTTTAAATTCAAACCAAATTGAATTTCTCCCTCCTCTTCTTAATTGTAAAGGTAAAGGTAAAGGTACCCCTGCCCGAAGGCGAGTCGTGTCCGACTCTAGGGTTGCACGCTCATCTCACTCTAGAGGCCGGGAGCTGGCGCCATCTGAGGACACTTCCGGGTCACATGGCCAGCGTGACAAAGCTGCTCTGGCGAGCCGGCACCAGCGCAGCAAACGGAAATGCCGTTTACCTTCCCGCTATAAAGCGGTACCTATTTATCTACTTGCACTTAGGGGTGCTTTCGAACTGCTAGGTGGGCAGGAGCTGGGACCGAACGACTGGAGCTCACCCCGCCGTGGGGATTCGAACCGCCGACCATACGATCGGCAAGTCCTAGGCACTGCAGTTTTACCCACAGCGCCACCCGCGTCCCACCCACGTCTTAATTGTAGCTGCCTTTAAAAAAAGAAAAGAAAAAGATACCTAATGATTGCCAGAGATTGCTCCTGAGCAAATGTTGCCTGTGGTCTGAAACAAAAAGGGGGGGACGACAATTACACTCCATTATCTCTTTCAGCGTCTAGGAAGGGGCGTTATCTGTTCTGCACAAAGCTGGTAGGCAGGACCTGTGCAGAGTAGCTTGGCATGAGAGACAGTTTCGTACACATTCCAGCGCAGGGAATAGCAGTTAGGATCACGCCTCGGGCAGATGATTCACCATTTCCAAAGTAGATTGTTAGGTAACCGTTGTTTGTTGACCTCTCTGGACATTTCTGCGGGCTCCATTTTGTTACCGGGCCAACAGCGTTATGCCTCGAACTCAGTGCTGCCAGCCAGGAGCCAAATCACCCATTTGCTTGACTCTTTTGCCTTGAGATAAACCTCGGAGGCTGCACAGCTTCTTTATTTGCCCATCAGCCATGCAGACTTATAGGAACTGGCTGAGGCTAAAGAACCCAGCAGGTCTGGATCACGAGGACAAAAAGCACTGAGCAATCTTTTCTGTTCCCTGCTGTGAGGGCAGTCAGGAAGTGTTTAACACAGCAGAGGTGCACAAGCTTCGTGCTGATGCAATTTTTTTCTCAAGATGTTAGGTAGCGGGCCATTTTGAGGAGCCACATGATGAGATACCGGCTCAGAGGACCGGCCCTACCATCTGGCAGACTGGGGAAGTGCCTCATGTTATGGAAATTACGGGGGGGGCACATCTTTAAAGTTGTTAAATGTTACAAATATTATGCATAAGTGTATCCAAAGGTCTGTATAGTAAAAGCTATGGTTTTCCCAGTAGTGATGTATGGAAGTGAGAGCTGGACCATAAAGAAGGCTGATCGCCAAAGAATTGATGCTTTTGAATTATGGTGCTGGAGGAGACTCTTGAGAGTCCCATGGACTGCAAGAAGATCAAACCTATCCATTCTGAAGGAAATCAGCCCTGAGTGCTCACTGGAAGGACAGATCGTGAAGCTGAGGCTCCAATACTTTGGTCACCTCATGAGAAGAGAAGTCTCCCTGGAAAAGACCCTGATGTTGGGAAAGATGGAGGGCACAAGGACTATTGTACTTTGGGTGGTGGGACTTCAGAGGTGTTTGCCTATGCTAATCTTATACCCGGGTCTTGCCCTGACATGTCTGCTTACGTTAATCTTGTACTAAGGACTTGTCTGGACATGTTTGCCAAGGTTAAAGTAGTGCAACCCCTGTCTACCCCTCCCCTTTGGTGACATGTCAGTGATGTAGCAATGATGCTGTACGAACCGTATTCTGGGATATGGTGGGAAAGTTTTAAAAATCTTTGTCACCCCATCCTCAGGGTTCAAAATTCCTCTTTGAACCTGTTGCGCAATAAACTTTGGTCTACAGCTATTTGCTCTGGTTGGTGGCTGGACTCCTTCCTTTATTCCGCAGGGAACCGCAGGCTCTGCCCGACGAGCTGGGTGACTGAGCAGCCTCACACCTAGATTTTTCCGTAACACTCAGGTGGTGAATTCTGAGCCTCTGAGCCCCCAAGCCCAGCATGCTGCCCTCAGGTACAGTGGATGGTGTTGTCCCACAGTCTCTTTCTTTCTTTCTTTCTTTCTTTCTTTCTTTCTTTCTTTCTTGGAATACTGCCACTAGTCAGCACCATTTATGGTCAAAACTACAGCGGTATCTGATTGTCTTCTAACCTCCGACTTTTGTTCTTGACTAATGAAAACATTCTTGGCAAATGCTTTCACTCTGGTTCGTCTTGTGCTGGTCCAAGAATTTCACCTCCCAGCCATCCCTCTTAACCATGGCCCCAGTTCCAAAAACTAACAAAACAGAACTGGAGTCCCATAGTCACTGTCTGAAGTAAGGTGGGGTGGGAATCTTGTCTGTTGCCTCAAAGCAGCAAATGACTTGGGCCAACGTGGCCTGGTGCCTCAAATCCATATTTGTTGTGTTGGTCCAGCACAACGGGATGCCTCCATCTGCCCCAGCTGCACAAAACATGTCTGTCCAGCATCGGTCTCTACAGCCACAGCAGGAACCACAACCTTCCAACGGCTTTACTTCACCCCCAAAGGCTCACTCCTCCATTGTCTCCCAAAACAGATAGATGCCAACTGCCAACTGGTCTTGACCGCACTGGAAGTACTCGCTGAATTTTTAGGGGCATGCATGAGCACTGTCCTCTCCTAATAAATTAAATTAAATATTTGCAATAAAAAGTAATCAGGCACTGGGAAGTCCAGAAGCAAGGACCCGGGTGTAACAGCCCTCTCTCCACTTCTGATTCCCACAGACTGCTATTCAAAGGCATATTGCTTTCGACCGTGGAGGCAGAACGTTGCCGTCATGGCTAGCAGCTATTGATCGCGACTGCTGCTGTGAAATTGGCTAGCTAAGAGGGCGAAGTTTTCTGATTTTGCATGTCCGTGTAGAAATCTGATTTCTAACATTAGCCCAAACATTCGTGGGTGTACTTGAATGCGGGAGGATGTGTGAGTGTGGGGGAATTTGAAACCGAAAGGCCACTTTGCGGCGCTTCTGTGCAACGCTCAAATGTTTTCACAAAGGGATCCTCTGTTGTCCCTGCGCCATGGAACTGTCAATGTGTCGAAAGAGCCTCCTACTAACAAGAGAGGAAGAAAAGCAAAGTGTTCGCATGCGGAGTCACACGGATGAAGTCATAGGTTGGCATAGCGGCCGCCAATGTTGACCGTGTTCAATGGCCATCTGTGAGCAGCCGACTTAAGCTAGGGAAAGATGCAAGCATAAAGGCCCTGCGTGTCCACCTCTGCTTGGCATTCCAAAAAGAGAGGTTTGTTTCCTGAATGGTACAAAGGATGCATTCTTGCAACGTTATTATTATTATTATTTAAAAACTGGCTGGAAGAAAATCAAACGTTTGTGGGGCCGCTGGAGAGAAGCAGCAATTTCCAAACCCTACAAGTTGTTGTTGTTGTTGTTTTGTACTGCAAACACAACAACTAAACTCACGGCAATAACTCTATCTGGCATGAGATTCCCATTAAGAAATCAAGTCTGTGGTCCTCTTGCATGCTGTAAAAACACCTCTGTCCTTTCTCCCTCTTTTTATGGAACTCATTTCATTCCCACCAAATTCCAGATTACCTGAAAACATGAATCAAAATGTATTATTACACAGAATGCCGTTCTGCAATGTACATCACTCTGGCAATCGGAATTAATTGCTTTTTGCAACTGTTGTGGGAGGAGGTGAGACCACAGATTATTGGCTCCATAGAGAGATTTTCAGACAAGTTCTGTACCTAGCATATTAGTTTACGCTAGTAGGACTACAAGAAGTTTTGTAAGGAAAAATATATGAAACATTGCAAAGTACAGGAAGACTAGAGATATTAGTTATGAGATTTAAATGTAATAGTGGAAGTAAGAAATGTATATTAAGTGAATAGATTGGAAATTTTTCAGATGTGATTGATGGAAGTCAAAAAAATGGTATAAGATATGAAAGTATGTTTAATTACTGTTGAAAATGATATGTTGAAAATTAATAAAAATATATATTTAAAAAAGGCATATTAGTGGCTGGCGGTGAACCTGGGCATCTCAAGTTCAAAACTGTGTCCATCACTGTCAGGAGATGTTGACTGACACTTTCACAAACATATTGTTCTGCCCTGGCAAAGGGAGGACAAAATATGCTGGGCCTTTTTCTTCTTGAAGCCAGCGATTAATCTGCCAGCGCAGGTCAGCTAAGGGGGCAGATGAAAGGACAATGGAGGGAAGGGGGGAAATTATTCTTGGGATCCGTGCCTGGTACTGGAAGGGGGAACCTATGCAAAGTGTAACACAATTGCTTCATTCATAACTCCTTCATTAACAGCTCCCCGCCTGCCAGCCTGACAGAAACAGCTCCCCCCTCCCTTTTTAATGACTGAGTGACAGAGCAGGATTGGGGAAACAACAACAAACTTTTAATTGGCAAGTACACAGGGCGCCCTGTTCACGAGCGCTCTTCCTTACTCCTTCCAAAACGGTGTGTTAAAACAGCAAAACTCACCTTACACACTGCTACGTGACACGGAAAGTTTTCAGAAACTTTCGGCTCAGCTCAGGGGCGAGGGATCGTGTTGTGTCAACACCCGGCCAAGCGCTCAAGAGACGGGAGAGGAAGCCGTGCCGTGCGTGAAGCTGAATCGAAACAAACGTTGTGATTTGATTAATTCCAATTAAATGCCGCTACGCAGAGCCAGACTGAACGTGATGGCGGCCGATGCTTTGAGAAGAATCAGGTCACTGCTTGCAGAATCCCTATGGACCGGGGAGAGGGGATCTTCAAAAGCGCTGGAATGAGTGCTTGTCCCCTAAAACAGACTCTCCTCACCCAAAATGTCCAGCACTGCATTTTGCACATCCTTGTTGTGTTTTCAATTGCCTCTGCTTTATAGGAATTTGGCACATCCCATATTGGGTGACTCAACGCGTCACACTGGGCATAGGCGATACCTCAGTGGTAGAACTCATGCTGTGTATTCAGAAGATCCCAGTGCAATGCTCAACATCTCCAGCCAAAAAGGGATTTCAGGGTAGCAAGGCTGGGAGACGGGTCTTTTTCTGAGGCTCTGGAAAGCCATGATCAGTCAGACTTGAAGGACCTGCCCAGGCCTGACTTAGTATAAAAAGGAACTTCAAATGTTCAGCACAGTTATTGCAGATGCAGTAGAACAAACATTATTGAGTGGATAATATACATACGGATACAGCAGAAATTTGATTCAGTTTGCCTTTAAAGGTAAAGCTGCCTAATTTGCACTGTCTGAAACACTACATAAATGTAATAAAATTTAATAAACAGCCATCCTTCAAAATTTGCACTTCTCTGAATTTTGCAATGCAATTCTTCAGCCAGATAATACGTATAAGCATGCATTAAAATGCATATGTTAGTGAGAATAACATGCAAAACTGCATTATATCTGGGGAAATTGCTTTGCAAAAATAAATAAATGTGTATCTTAGCAGAAAGTTGTGCTGATTAATTTTCTTGAGGACTTTTTTTTTTTAATTGCAAAACGGATTGAGGACAACTGAGTTTAAGATTGGGGCAATGAGAAAGCGAGAGGAACTGAAATTGGCAGGTTCACTCATTCCTAGACCTACATGAGACCTGTGAAGACACCTGTGAAGTTGAGGCCCTTTGACAAGTGCATCCATGTGCTCAAAGACATGCATAAGTCACCCGCAGTTCATGCGTCTGCTGTGGGTAGCATTATCAGTGCATCGATGGCAACGATCAAATTTACAGCCTGAACATTGGAAACTGCCTTACCCCGAGTTGGACCACTGGCCCACCTGGCTCAGTACTGTCTAGACTGAATGGCAGCAACCATCCAGGGTTCCAGGCCTTGAGGACTCAGCTACATTAGTAAAGAAAAAGCGTTTAATATGTGTTATAACACTGTGACAGCAGTCACGAAATTAAAAGACGCTTGCTCCTTGGGAGAAAGGCGATGGCAAACCTAGACAGCATCTTAAAAAGCAGAGACATCCCCTTGCCAACAAAGGTCCGTATAGTTAAAGCTATGGTTTTCCCGGTAGTGATGTATGGAAGTGAGAGCTGGACCATAAAGAAGGCTAATCGCCGAAGAATTGATGCTTTTGAATTATGGTGCTGGAGGAGACTCTTGAGAGTCCCATGGACTGCAAGAAGATCAAACCTATCCATTCTGAAGGAAATCAGCCCTGAGTGCTCACTGGAAGGACAGATCCTGAAGCTGAGGCTCCAGTACTTTGGCCACCTCATGAGAAGAGAAGACTCACTGGAAAAGACCCTGATGTGGGGAAAGATGGAGGGCACAAGGAGAAGGGGACAACAGAGGACGAGATGGTTGGACAGTGTTCTCGAAGCTACCAGCATGAGTTTGACCAAACTGCGGGAAGCAGTGGAAGACAGGAGTGCCTGGCGTGCTCTGGTCCATGGGGTCATGAAGAGTCGGACACGACTAAACAACTAAACAACAACATAACACTGTGACACCAGGTGGCGCTGTGGAGTCCCGTCTTTCGCCAACGTGATTTCCCATAATGAAGTTTACAATACGTATTCCTGAAGCGCTTTTTTGATCCAGCCCGAGTCTTTCCCAGCCTTACCCGGAGATGCTGGGAACTGAACCCAGGACCTTTTGCATGCAAAACTTGTGTTGTACGGCTGAGCTACCTACTGCCCCCCTCCCCCAAGTGTGGAGTCACTCTAAATTTGGTACATGGTTCTAAATGCGGAGGAAACAATATTTGCATTTGTCGAGTTGCTCTACGCAGAGGAGCCGCTTGAAATAAATTAACGTAACAAGCAGAAAATAGGAGCCGGGGCTTTGTTTGTTCCACTGATGCATAGGCTGAACTCCGGCCTATTTTAAGTGCAACGATCCACTGATAATTACCTCCTGCCATGTCTGAGTTTCACAACTGAATGCATTCCCAGAACATTAAACCTCCTTGTTACAACATCAGGGCTACCCTCATCATCGCAGCTAGAAATTGACCTGTGAGTGCATGTTGCAGATGGGATCACTATACAGTACATCCCTTATTTTAAGGAACATCATCTTGCTGCATTAGCTTACCCATGCTTTAAATTCACTTTTATTTATCCGGTAGGCCCTTTGTCTATGGGTGGTGCATAACAGTGGTAGGGGGTTATTTTGGGGGGGGGGGATAACACTGAGAGTCTGTTGGCTTTTTGAAACATGGGGTAGCTGGATCTGATTTTGCAGTTTGCAGCTGTTTGGAAAATGAAACTGAAATGTAAAAGATCTCTTTTTATTCTTATTACAGGGGGCTGATGCCGCTTTCATTCCTTACCAACCTCCCACAACCCACCGGGGAAACCATATCCTGACTGCTGCTCTATGTTCTGTTACCGGAAAAATCCGAGGGCTCCCTTGGACAAAATAAAGACACCAACCAGGATAACTTGGAGCAAAACAGCAGCCTGTAGGCTTGGCCTTTATTGAACTGTTGCAACAGGGTGTTCCCCTCACTTGCGAGAGAGAGGA